CTAGTATTGTTAGCCACAAGCTGAGTCTTTTGAAACAGTGATTCTCAGGAGCTAGTAGCATTCAAATCAAAAATATAATTTTAAGATACCATACAACCTCCATTTATGTATTTAGAAATGAACTTACAGTAACAGCTGAAATCCTGGAAGCATTGAAAGCATGAATTGATAAAATATTTTAGTTTTTAACTTTAAGTAAATTAATTAATCAAATAGTATCATTTCTCATATTAAAAAATAGCAGTTAAGGGGCATTTCATATAAAATAAATTTTTGACTTACAATTCTACATACTTGCTTCAACTCTGAAGAAAAATTTTATTTTTCACAATCATGAATAATCAAGTACTAATATAGGACTTTCATAAAATATCTTTCCTGAATTAACAATATTGTGTTCTTATACTTAACACTTTTTAGTTCAGTATTTTTATACCTTTAGAACTGGATCAAATTGTAAACACTAAAAAACTTCATCCACCTTTTCTGTTTGATGTTTGAATGTGGTTAGATCTAGTTGAAAGTCTGAGTTGGATACTCCAGCATTAAAATCCATTTTTGGAATTCCAGAAACATAAATTCAAGACTTATGTTTGTCATGCATTCACCTAAGTAAGTTGGGTACATTACTTTTCCTTTTTGAGCATAGTTTTTTCTTCTGCAAAGTGATAGCAATCAATCGCATCTTATAGGTACTTTGAAATTTGTAGGAAATTGGAATAAAGGAAGGCAAGGTATAAAAATGATAATGATAAATAACAGTAATAATGGTTATTTAAAGATGTAATAAGCACAGTAAAAGCATTGTGTATTTTAATCCACAAACAGCTCTATTTTACTAATATAATTTAATTCCTCCGTTTTACCTTGTATATATATATATCTAGATTTTCATCTGCTGAGATTTCTTTGAATATGACTGTGATTGGTTTGCCTTGTCATTGTATCATGAAATAGAGCAGATTAGAGTTCAATCCTTGCTCCTCAATTTACTATGAGACCCTGGGAAGGGTAGGGTGGGGGGCTTCCAAATACTCACTTTTCCTATTCGTACCAGTATATGGATTATACGCAATAAAGCGTACAATG